TTACGACATTAGATCAAGCTCAGTACGCTCAAGAAGTGATTGACCGATTTGGCATGACTGGTTGTAGGCCCCGAAAATCACCAATGGACAAAGACGTCGTCCTTTACCGACGATCAAATGACGAAGAAGCTGCTGGTGACGGGCTATATCGCCAAGCAGTCGGAGCACTGCTCTACCTCGCCCGAGTAACTCGACCGGACATATCGTTCGCCGTCAACCAAGTCGCAGCACGTGCATCCGACCCATCGCAATCTCACTGGATCGCCATCAAGAACATACTTCGATATCTACAAGGCTCAGGGAACCTCGGACTCGTCTATAGGCGTGACCCCAAAGCACCCCGAGTCTGCGTTTACACTGACGCCGACTGGCCAACAACGAAGACGGGGGAAAATCGATGTCGGGAGCGATCGTGTTCGTCTCGGGATGCCCTGTGTATTGGCACACAAAACGGCAGCGTATTGTGTCAAAGGCATCGACGATAGCAGACTACCTTGCCACCGACGATGCCGTGGAGGAAGCGCGCTGGATTCAAATGCTGTTGAACACGCTACTCAAGGTAATCTCTACCACTCCGATCCCAACGATGATCGACAACAAATCGACAATCAAGTGCCTCACCAACGGAAACAACTCTGAGGCCCCGAAGACAGCTGATTGCAAGTTTTTACCATTCGGGATGCAGTCCGATCTGGAGAACTCGTTCTCAAGTACTGCCCCACAAACGTCATGCTTGCGGATGGTTTGACGAAGGCCCTACCCATGACGCGTTTTCGGGAACTCCGAGACGCCGTTGGCATGGTGAAGTCACCCCTCGTGTCCCACACTGGCGGGGAAGTGTTGGAGCAACGTCCAGCTTGAAGCACGAGGTACAGTGGGACCTTCCGAGATGACACTAGACACACGACCTGCCTCTACATATCAGCCAACCGGCTAATGCTTAAATAAATCATTCCCCAATCTGCCGTCGTTCCAACAAGATGTTCTCAAGGGCAAGGAGAGAATGGCCAAGCGTGACAGTAAGTATCGATACTCCAAGAGCCGTGATGCGCGGCGCGACGATGGGTACGCCCGCAATAATCGGCGAGATGACCGTCGCCGCGATGCCAACCGCAATAAACCAAGCGTGACGCTCATTGAAGCCACGGTGGACGACCTACTAGCTGAATTAGAAGGTCGTGAAGCTGCTCAGGGAGGCACCAAGTATTCAAACGAAGATCTGAACGCTGTGCAAGACGAGTACAACGCCTTTCAGCCCGATAATGCGGATGGTGATTTCGCATTGGATGAAAATTACCGATACCTCGCCGCGAGCTAACGAAAATGAGTGCCGTGCAGCCGCTGAAGGCACCTACGCACGTTCAGACAACCGTCAGAAGCGTGGAAACACGCATGATCGCGAGAATGGCTTCAATCAAGATCGCCGAGGTGGTGATTGTGGGTTCAATCAGGACCGACGGGGTCGACGTGACTTCTACCGCGTCAACCGACGTCCACAGTACGGACCATGCGCGGTGTGCGGCGGCATGAGTCACTCCGCCCACTACTGTAACAAGCGATGTAAGTTCTGCAAACAGCTCCACGATGCTGGACAATGCGGACTTTTCCGCAACTTCCAAGACCTTGCCAAATTCGTGCGTACTAAAGGCACGAAGAAGGAACTCCCACCAGAGCTCAAAGCCGTCGTTCAAGAACGTCATTTAAAGTAGGCAGCCCGCCAACTACAACTGGGCTGGTCCCTATCGGGCTGCCACAGTTAACCGAGCCTTCAATGGAAGCAGAG